ACTCAACTGGAAGGGATTTACTTAATTTTTGGAAGGTGGGAAATGGGGTCACCCATCTTCAAAAAGAATATTGTTTCCCGTGCTAAAGCTATAAGCTAGGTCTATAGTTTCCACACGAATAGCTTATTCACAAAGAATTCTCCTAACAATACTATACACATTAACCAAAATTTGCTCATCCCTTTGCTCTAATTAAGTTTCAGGGTTAGACAATCATTCTTAGTCTGGTGGGAAACACTGAGAGCCAGCTAGAAATGTACAGTACCAAAGTAATTCAATGTTTACTAAATTTAAAGGAAGCAATCAATTTCTAATTCGAATTTATGCACATTCTTTTCCCACTTTAACACTGTCTTATTTCCTCTAAGTTCTTCTTTGGTCATTAAGATTGTCAGCAAGGTTATAGTTATTGAACAATTTGTCACATGCTGCAGGTATTTCTAGACCAAATTCAATTATCAACATACCTATATATAACTAAAGAAAAATATATAAGACACTTATAGACAAAGACATTATATGTTCTTCATTTACAGCCCATTGCGCCAGAGAGAGGGGTTCCTAGTAGGCATTCAGTAAGTATTTGCAGAATGAATGAAAGAAAAAATATCTATCTACCCTCTGAATTATTTTCCCACATTCAAACTCTCAGGCATAGCTCTCCCAGAATGTGTGTACGTGTCTATGCATGCATGTGCTCTCAAAATTCCCACATGCTCATCCTTCAGGCTGAATATATCCTTCCTTTTGGCAGGTATATCTGTATTACAAAACACTGAAACAAGATTAACCACACAAATTGTCCCAGGAAAGTTAATTTTAATTAACATTTTCCTGAAACTCGCCAGCCTTCCAGCACCTAAAAACTGAACTCAATTTTCATTAGGAAAGCTGTTTCCTCCTTCTTAGAAAACACACACCTTTTAAAGTTTCAAGTGCCAATTTATGTCTCCAGTTCATAATAACATAAATTCACAGTGTACTTGTGATGCTTTCCCTGGAAAGCTTATTTGAAATCACTTGCTTAATTGAAACTACTTTTACTTCTGCTCGGACTAATGCCCAGCACTTCTTCTTTGTTTTCAACTCTGAGCACTACTTGGAGCTACATTCCCCCATCTGCATTCCTGACACAGGATGACAAAAACCAGACTACAATTCAGTCTCCTCAGATATCCTGCCCTGGAGATGCTCAGCAGGCAATTGGAAATTGGAGTTAGCCTGGAGCTCCGGAATGAGTTAAGAATTGAAGAGGTCAATTTGGGAATCACTCGTGTAGAGGTGAAAGGTGAAGCTATGTGAGGAGATGAAATTACCCAGAATGAGAACATAGCAAGAGAAGAGAAGCAGATCAATGACAGAACCTTGGGAATTGCTCCATTTAAACAGTGAGGGGGAGGGAGAGGCTGTGTGTGTGTGTGTGTGTGTGTGTGTGTGTGTGTGTAAAAGAGACTCCAACAAAACAAACTTAAGTGTCGAGTAGAAGACAGGAGGTGAACCAAGATAAATTATTAATGCTTTCAAGTAAGAGAAAAAGTGAAGAAGTGCAAGAACCTCCAAAAGGTTCAAGAAGATTGAAGCCAGAGAAGAAGCCATTGGATTTTAAAATATGGTGGTCACACATGACTTTTGGGAAAACAGTCTTCCCAATGTCATTCTTATGGACTCATAGAGTGTCCATATGTTTATGTGTACATGTATATATGCATGTACTCTGAAGCACCATAAGATTAAATATTAGTATTGAATGAGACTGGTCCTGGGTGTACCAGATAATGGCAGTAATAACCACTACTATTTATTGCCTGTTTACTATGTGCCAAAACAGTGCTAAGTACACGATATCCCTGATCTCAATTTAATCTTTGCACAACTCTTTAAGGTGGCTACACTTTACATGTGAAGAAACTTGAAAACCCACAGAAGTTAAATAAATTACTCAAGGTCACAGTGCTACAAAGTGGCAGCACCAAGATAGAACAAAAGCCCATACTTTCAGTCACTCAAGTAACATTTCCACTGGGTGGATGTTAGCTAGGTAATCTACGCATAAGGGGAAAATAACTAATATTGGTTGACTCAAATTGTCAAGTGTTTTGCATAGGATATCTCCTTTCACATGTATACCATCAATATTATGGCTATGTTTAGGTAAACTTCATGAAGTCATATTTTAAGAAATCTGATTCAGGTTTTTGGAAAATACTAGTGAATCGAAGCTATATGATCCCAAAACAACCAGTTATAATTCAAATGTATTTACTATAATTGTTCCCAATGGTTTGAAAGGTTAAAAAAACATAAGTGTGGCATCATTAATTTGGTGGTTGTTATTAATATTCAAATTACTGATAATCAAACTCATCTCAAAAATGAGTGGATTAGACAGGATGATCTTAAACGTTTCTAGCCTTGACTTTCTATGACTCTCATATGAAGGTTTAATTTTAAAGATATAGAATACAAAGTAGAATGTAAATGCAGCAGCAGAACTGGTTGGTATGTCAGCATACTTTTATTCCCTAGATTTATAGAGGCCTACAGTTAAAATATTATAAAAACTAGATTTTGACTGTTCAAGATATTGATTGATAACTTAAACAGAAGTTTGGAAACTCCATCACAAAATTATACACTGAATATTCAGCCAAATAATTTGCTTACAACTAACTGCAGATCTTATGGTACAGCAGGTTATAGAAAAAAAGAGAGAGTGACAAAAACTCTGGCAATTAATTTTTTGCCATCTACAGAAAAAAAACACACACAGGGCTCTCTTTCAAACAATTAGTATCACTGTTAATTTTGCATGTATGTAGCAATAACAAGGCATTTGGGATGGCTTCCACTGATTGTTCCCTTCTCTCTTTGGATTACAAAATCCATTCAGACAACTAAATTACAGCAAGTATTTATGCAAATTTTAATTATGAGGCAGAGATCATCATAATCCTGTATATTTATAAAAGTGCATGACCAATGGGGATTACCAAATGAGTTGTTACTTTATTATTTTACTAGTGGTTGAAAATGTGCTAGCCTTGGAGAGTTTTCATACACCATTCAGTCCACCAGAATTAAAAATGGCCCCATTGACATTTACCAAAGCCATTTCTTTTCCATTGCATTGGTACTTCTCTCTTCCTTTCTCACAGACAAAGACCAGGTATAAATTGCTCTGATAATAACATCTGGTCAAATCAATCAGCATGATAATAAAAATAGAGTATGTCAAGATTTTCTCTGTTATATAGTAAAACAGTTGTAGAGAGATGGTTGTATCATGCAGCAAATTTTAAAGCAAAAATAAAACTAAATTCTTAACATGTCCCCCATGAAAGCAATTTTTGAGATAACAGTCTCTATGTTATTGACCATTATCTTAATGATCATCCACTCTGTTTTATTTTACAAATAAGGAAATCAAGGCTCACAGCAGAGATGAGACTTAAGCAAAATCACCCTACTAGTTACTAGCAGAACATAGTACTCTTGCCACCATGATACATCCAATCTATGATCTTTAAACACATTCCCATGCTAATATTGTGTTACTAAGTGTCTGTGTGTCTATATCATTTGCCTCAATGAATTATAGTCTGACTATAGAATTAAACACTGAATTTACTAATCTCAGCTATGAAATAAACCAACTGATGCCCTTGTGGGAATATGGAAGCCCAGCTACTGAAAGCTAAATTGGACATCTAATAAATGGTCCATCTATTCTATTTGAATGAGAGTCTTCCCTCGTGGAGGAATCCCAAGGCTCCAACCTTTGCTCTTGCTTACACTTACTGGGCCAGGGAGCATAGGATGAAATGTAGGTGGGTAGGAAGAGAAAGTAGAGACCCTGGTAAATATTTCTGGAGCCAATAAGCCTACAATAGGCCAAATAGAGTACTGGTGAACATCATGATCTTAGAAAACAATGTGCCAAGCAACTACAGCACACATTTACAAAATGGCTTATGATTCTCACAGCCTCTTCAGCACTAGAGGTGACATGATTGTATAACTTGTGGCACACAGTTGATGTCTACAAAGGCACTAACGTGGAGCATTCTCAATACCCCACCACCCTCACAGTTAGGAACTTTCCTGTGTTTAATTAGATCTGCTCTGCTGCAGAGCTCATGTCATAAAGGTCTCTGGACTATGGGATTACTCTACCTGCAAGTCTGCATACAGGGTGGGGCAAAGTAGGTTTACAGATATGAGTACGCAAAATACTGTTATTCTTGTATTATTCTTTCTTTTTATTATCTTTTATATTTTATTGATTTCACAGAGGAAGAGAGGAGAGAGAGAGATAGAAACATCAATGATGAGAGAGAATCATTGATCGGTTGTTTCATGCATGCCCCCTACTGGGGATCCAGTCCGAAACCGGGGCATGTACCCTAATTGGGAATTGAATCATGACCTCCTGGTTCAAAGGTTGATGCTATGAACAGTCAGACAGGTATACTTATTTATTAATTATTGTATCATTTTCCATATGAACAACTGTAAACCTACTTTTGCCCAACCCTGTACTTACATACTTTAAAAGCCCTGATATTTTCAAATAATTGATTTTCCTTCAATAAAAATCTAACCTAGTTAGTCCCTAAATCACCATCCAGCCTAGTAAACAGGCAGGCGTGCCTGAGCACTGTGAAAAAGATAATGTTGGTGGGTGGTGGGGCCTTCACAAAACACTCCACAGCGTCATCCTATTTCAACGAAAAGAAAAAAGAGCTAATGACCTACTGCCCAACTGTCTGGGGTGCTGGCCCTAAACATTCATCCACTCTGAACTAGTTCTACATGCCTAAGACTACATACATGACTGGGTAGTTTCAGCTGTTTTAAACTAAAAGAAATAGTCCTGAAAAGAATTTGTCTCAAGCTCATAACCTACTTATTATATTGAAATTGAACTGATAAGCAACTGCAAAATCTATTTAGTGTAGCTTACTTGGGTTCAGTTAAACTAAAAATGCATTGTCACTTACCTCGTTGCATCTAGAATCTGAAAAATCCTCCACCTGTTAAAGGAACAGTGAAACCAGGTACTAGCAAGAGCTTGGTAAGAAAGAAGTTAAAATAGTAAGTTTTCCAGTGTGCTTTGATAGCATGTTTTTTTCAGCTTTCAAACACACAAGGAACCAGTTCATGGATGGCTCCTTCACCTTGGTCCTCATTTAGCTCTTCTCAAATAGTGGGGGAATTATGAATCAGAGTGCTAAAATGGTGAGCCCTAAGAGTCAGACCGATGGAACTTTATGGATTGAGAATGACAGATCTACCACTCAATCACGCTAATTCCATTCCCTTTCACAAAAGCGATGGCCATCTAAGCAAAACACAGAAGTCAGTAAACCAAAAACCAAACCAAATGCTATGGTATCACTAACATGGAAATGCATGATTGAAAGGACCCTGTAGGAATTGGTAGTAATTTTTCATATAATCGGGAATATATAAAACACAAATAACAAAGGAAAAGAATAAAAAGAATGATTAAACTTTGCTGATGTTCTCCACAAAATGATGAAATTCCAAGCACACAGTAAGTGATCCATAAAGCATTACTCTAATCCTTTCTACCCAAACACAAGACATCCATCAAAGTAAGCAATGTGTCTCTCCATAAAAAAAAATCTCAGCTATTTTCATAATATGTCTTAATAGTCACAAAACGCTAATTCTACTATGTGAATTTCTGATATTAGCAGGGATTGTGAAGTTGTGCATGGGTCAATTGCTAGTTTGAGGGTTCAAATGGGCTCAGTTAGCTTTTGTATTATATTTAGCAAAGGATAATATAATATGATAACACTTTTGTACCCAAAACGAGTTACATGGCCTATACATTTTCTTGAGAGAATAGTTTCTTTGCATTAATTTGTCTGGAGGCTTTAGAAGTGAGGTAAGAGAGACTTTTAATAGCATTACTAGCAGCAGAGCCTTGCATCGTCATTTGAGAAGCAATAGAAGACTTTTATTATCAGTTCCCACTGTGGCTCAGCCTTATTTTTCCTGGTTCTGTGAGTTGGTAAGAAGGCCACAGAAGCAAGTATTATGAAAAACTAAAGTGATGGTGACTGCTGATGCCAGATAATCCCCCTATTAGCTGACTTACCATCCAGGGCCTTATGTGTTCTTCTTCTATTCCAACCAGGAGAAAGAAGTAATCAAAAGTTTGTGGTGTGTGTGTTTTTTAATCTACCCCATGACTTAGTTTCCCTACACAGTGAAGAGAGGCTAATACCCCTTCGACTACACTCAGCTTCAGGAACAACAACAAAATAACATAATTTGGGGTAAAAAATGCAAAACAAAAATAAAAAAGATGAAGCTCTATGTTGATTCTTAGTACTATAAATTTCCAAAGTCATATACATAGCACTTTCTAAAAACTGTAATTTTAATTATGCTGCACTAACAGAAATCTTCAAATAATATAAATATGTGCAGAATTGATTTACATGGGAACCAGACAAAATTTAACGTTAATCAGGAGGAACTATTGTATCTTGAGATTATTTTTTAATTTATATGTATACTTCTCAGCTGTCTATTAAAGTTTGTTCAGTGATAGCACTGAGACTTTTAGAAGTTCATCACCTTACCTGGGAGTCCAGGTTGTCCAGGCAGAGTATTCAGTGGTGATACAGGAAGATGTTGCAGGTGCATCAATCGAAAGGGCAGGCAGGCATTGGAAGTGAATCAAAGACCATGGATAGAAAGTAAAAAAGGAGAGACATACTGATTAGAATAAATGAATTAACTTTATGAACTCATTTTATACACACACACACACACACACACTTTAGGAAGGATCTTAAATGGAATCTTTTAAAAAGACCCTTTAATAAAAAGAAATGACAGTTATGTAATGTGACAGGGGTGCTAAATAGCACTACAATGGCAATCATATTTAAATGTATGAATTATCAAATTAACACATTGTACACCTTAAATTTATACAGTTATACATCATATATATTCAACAAAAATCACCCCATAAAAATATTGATTATTTATTATGCAGCAGGCATTATTAGAGATACTGAGGGTGTAGCAGTAAATAGAACAGACACAAATCCCTGCCTTCACAGAGTTCACAATCTTATGGAAGCTTTTTTAGGCCATCTGATTGGAAAAGAGTGCCACAGAAATATACTATATGTTATTAATGCTCAGAAAGATTTTTCCCCCATTTTATTTACAGTGGGGCCTTGACTTACGAGTGTCCCGACTAAAGAGTTTTTCGAGATACGAGCCGTCTCTCGGCCGATTTTTTGCTTTGAGTTGCGAGCTAAAATTCGGGTTACGAGCCAGCTTCAGATACCCCACCGCTAGTTGGCACAGCGAACGTCACAGTGAACGCCACAACATCAGCCCAGCATCACGTGTCTCACTCGTTCACTTTTTGATTTGACATACGAGTAATTTGAGTTACGAGCTCCGTCACGGAACGAATTAAACTCGTAAGTCAAGGCCCCACTGTATGTCTCTATTTATATATGGAGTACATATCCAATGGCATAAGATTCAACATTTGTGCCCTAGCTGGTTTGGCTCAATGGATAGAGCGTCAGCCTGCGGACTGAAAGGTCCCAGGTTCGATTCCAGCCAAAGGCACATGTCTGGATTGCGGGTTTGATCCCCACGAGGGGGCATGCAGAAGGCAGCCAATCAATGATTCTCTCTCATCATTGATGTTTCTATCTCTCTCTCCCTCTCCCTTCCTCTCTAAAATCAATTTAAAAAAAAGATTCAACATTTGTATTACAAATAATTCTTTTTCTAATTGAAATGGACATTATTTCTATTCATGATTTTTCCTTGTGGACACCCCCCACCCCCATGGCTATAAGTCAGATTTCTTTTTAACTGGACCATTTGTTGTCCATAGGACTCCACGTACGTGCACCTTGAAATTCTGTAAGAACGAGAAGTCCCTCAATGGCAGCTTTGTAATACTGAAGTCCCACATCCTGGCAGAGTATTTCTCATAGTAGTGCTCTGTAACTGTTATCCCAGTGACACTCTGAGATTGCATTCATCACCCGTCAGCAAGCCATATATTGGGGAAGCAACAGCAATTGGTGGACAAAAGGAGCTGGTGCTCAAGCTCATTATACAGACACTGTCTGAAGAAGAAACAGTTAAGTGTAACCTTCCTGTGGGCCCAACTTTGAGAAGATGACAAATATCCCTCAATTGACAGCTCCTGCATAATGTCAAATTAGCATGGAAAGGAAAAGGTGTAAATGAAGAGAACACATATACATCATTGAAAAAATGGGAATTGGGGGAGACTTGGGAGCCCCAACATGAGGAGTCATGCAAACCAGAAACCTCAAACAATGACACCTATCCCTGGCATTTATGTTCTCCATGCAGGTTAGAGCTTCAGAAAGACAAATGAAGCTACCTATTCACTTTTATATTAAAGGTCCAAATCAAGATCTAGGGAAAACAGGATGATGTAAAAATCTGAGAGTCCCCGCCTAAAAAATCAGAATCCATGGTTTCTATTCATGGTTTTACCTATGACTCATTTGATCTCCAGCAAATTTCCTTCTCCATTCTCTCAGGGAGCCATATGAAATGAGGGATTTCTAAAAATCCTCCAGTTCCAATATTTTGTAATTCTCTAATAGCTTTATCTTTTATTTTGGTGCCAAGTTAGTGAAAAGTACAGCCATCTCTAGTCATTTTCTCAGTAAAACATGCCATTAGAAGTTCAGAGAGCTCAGAGCCCAACATTCTGAGCTTATGAGTAAATAAGAACATGGCCAAAACAATAATCACCAAGTTGAAATGTAGCCAATCATCATTCTGTCCAGGGCAACAGCTTTGTTTATTTGAAATATAGAGTGGCTGGTTCTTTACTATGGAAAAGGTACACAAGGAAACTTAACTGAGAATACTGTAACAAGAAAAATCTAATCGATCAACAATTGTTGCCCCGCCCCCATTTTTCTTTCTGCTCATGCAGCTTCTTCATCTGCCAGGAGCCTGCCATGTTGGTGATTGCTGTCAATCAGCAGAGACCTCCATAGCTACACACTCCCAGATAAAGGCTACATACCTTCTCAGATTGTGCAAAGGGTGGTTAAAAACACAACACAACAAAAAAACACACAAACACTGTTTTGATTTGATCGAAAATCTTTGGTAGATGATAATACATCTGTGGGAGTCAATTACCTATAGTGTTTCAGAGTTGCCAAGCAATTGGCTCATTCATCTTCTCGGGTTTCTGACACTAGGTTGGTTTGATCACCCTCTACCCAACTCCCACACTCTGAGTTACCCTTGATTGCCCACCCTCTCCCCACTTAGGATGCTTTCCACCCTCGTCATTGTCTGACTTACTATACTGCTGCTTAATTACCTGCACCACCTTTTGAATCTCAGGTCATATCCTCTTTTGGTCTCTGAAGGCAAATACGGGATATCCTATTGAAAAAACTTACTCTGCGTGTTAAATCTGATCCCCTAAATGGTAAGGGGTTTCATGCCTACAAAGTCCTGGGCAAAAGATTGTTGTTCAAATTGGAGGGGCGGGGGAGGGTGGAAAGGCCAGACTAAAGACTAGATGATTCTTAAGCCCCAGGAAAAATTGCTACTTGCAAAGTGTTAAAATGCTTGGCCTCTGCTTTTTGCTCACATGCAAGCCTGAGAGGTGGTATGGGTCCATGGAATAAGCCCGAAGTCACACAGATTGGGTTCTAGTCCAGGCTCTTTAACTTACTGTGTGGCACTGCTCAGGTCCCATAACCTCTCAACCTTGATTTCCTCAGCTACAAATTGGGAACAAGTATAGGACCTATGCCAGTAATGATATTCAACATATTTAACAACCAATATGGCATGGGCACCGACCAGTGAGAACAGAAGCCTGCTCAATCAGAAGAGAAACCAAATGTAAACAACCTATCTAGACATGTCAATGTGTGCTTCACAAGGTGGTTGTGAGGGTTCAATGAGATCATGCACAGAAAACCTGTAGCCGACTACCAGGTCCAAG